GCACAAGCACGCCACAGACAGTCGAGAAGGGAGAGACAGCAAGGACAGCCTTCACCGCCAACCTCCCTCGCCCCCCCTCCCGCACGCCCAGGCCCGGCGGAGCAGCTTACGTCGAGACTTACCTGCAGCAGCCAAAGAAGGTCGAGCCGGCGCCAGTCACCGCCAGTCACACGGTCGCCGCGCCGACGCCAGTGGCAATCTTCCCGCCGCTGCCGCTGATGCCAGAAGTGCCATTCGCGCTCGCACCGACCGACGCCAAGACGCCCTCTTCCAAGCCACCGGCCTCCCGCTCCGACGGCACCGAGCGGCAGCGAAAAAAGAAACGCGCGGCCGCACGCGCGGCGGTTCGCTTCCTAGGCCTCGCGCTCCGACGGCAGCCCTCTCCCGCGGCCGACGCCGTCGCCCGCAGCGCCGCCCGTGCCGCCCCACCGCCCGCTCGGCGCTGCACTCGCTAACGGCGCGCCGCCGCCGCTCAGCTGCAGCGGCGCCGTCGCGCGGCCCGGTGCGCGCTCGCTAGTAGCGCACGGCTTGCACCCCCCGCCACGCCGCCACTCTCGCCCTCGCCTCCAGCCACCCCGCCGCTGCCGCCCGTTGCCGTCGACGCCGCCACCGCCGCCGCCGCCCTCACCGCCGCCGCCGCCCTCACCGCCGCCACCCTCACCGCCGCCGCCCTTCCTCGCCGCCGCCCTCCCTCGCCGCCCTCACCGCCGCCACCCTCACCGCCGCCTCCCTCACGGGAGCCCTTTTGGAGGGCATCACAGCTCCGACCCAGCCTCCCTCCTGCGCCAGGCCTGCCTCCCGGGGCGTGCAGCCTTCCCCCGCTGCTGCCGGGCCAGCGGCCGCCGCAAGGCAGCCACCGGCTAGAAGCCGAGATATAGCCGAGATATAGCCGAGATATAGCCGAGATATGGCGAGATATGGCGAGATATGGGGGAGATATGGCGAGACATGGGGGAGAGATGGCGAGGCATGGCGAGGCAGGGCGAGATATGGCGAGATATGGCGAGATATGGCGAGATATGGTCGGTGAATTCAATCTCGCACTCGAGACGACGTGACCCCAGCTGCTTTCCGCTGCGTTCCGCGGGCCCCGTTGCGCCCTCGGCCCTCGCACCCCCGCGGTGCTTGATGAACGAATGACTGGTAGCTGACTCGCTAGGGGCACCCTCCCGCACCACCCGCCGCAGCAGCCGCTATTGCGCACACTGCGGACACCACCGCAGTCAGGGAGGGGAGGGAGAAGTGTGGGAGAGAAGTGAGAGAGCGTATGCAGCGCGTATGCAGCGCGTTGGTATCTCCCCGTATCTCCCCCGCATCTCCCCGTATCTCCCTAGTCACGCATGCTAGCAGCACTGCACAGGTTCTGTAGCACACCCGGGGTAGCTACAGTGTAGCACACCCAGCAAGAGTAGCACACCCAGAGGAGGCGAGGCGGGAGTATGCTCAATAGCAGCTACCCGCTCCACACTGCACACCGCCGCCTCCTCCCGCCCCGCCGCCTCTGCGTGTGGCACCACACCGGTGCTCCGTACTGTAGGAGTCCTCGGCGCAGGGACTCCAACCGGGCCCGGCGGAAGGCCTCTCCTACCAGGCCAGCGCCCGCCGGGGCAGCTCCCCCTCCTCCCGGGCCAGCGGCTGCCGGGCCAGGCGCCGCTGCCGGGCCAGACGACACCCCTGCAGGGGAAGACCGCACCTCTCCCAGGCCAGCGGGTGCCCAGCCAATCTCCGGCTGCTGCGGCCGGCGCGGCGGCGCAGACTCCCCCCCCGAGGCCGCCGGCGGCGACGTCGGCGGCCGCGTCGTTGGGCAGCACCGCGCCGCCGATGCCGCCGCCCGTCTCTGCGGCCGGTGCAGCTGCCGGCGCGATCGCCGGCGCGGCGGCGGGGGCGGCGGGGGGGACGGCGGCGGCGGCTGCGGCGGCCGCGCCAGCACCGGCGGCGGCTGCGCCGCCGGCGGGGGCGGGGGCGACGGGAGCGACGACGGCGTCCGGGGCGACTGGAGCGGCGGCGGGGACGGCGGCGTCGGCGGCGACGAGTCGATGTGGCGGCGGTGCTTCTTCGACATCGAGGTCGTCCTGCCCTGGAGGAGCGACGACTGGCGGCGGAGTCGGTGGCGGAGGGGCGGGCGAGGCGGCGGTGCGGGGCAGTCCCGGCGCCAGTGCGAAGAACATCCTCGACACGCCGACTATTGGGTGCCCGGCTCCAGAGAGACGTTTCCGAGGCCCTTCCGAGACCCTTCCGAGGCCCTTCCGAGGCCGTTCATGCGCCCATCCGAGGCCCTTCCGAGAAACGTCGGAGAAGACGACACACACACATTGCACACAAGAGGCATGGCACAACCACGACACACGCCTTCGCTGACCTTCTGGCACGTCCGCGACAGGCCCCTCGCAGACGCTCTCGGCGACGATTTGTTTGCAATCGACGGCGGCGGCGGCGACAGCGGCGGCGGCGGCGGCGGCGGCGGCGGCGGCGGCGC